CTTCATCCCTTTCCCTTTCCTGAACTGCTTTGTGGAGGAGCAGTGTAAAGCCTTCCCCCACCATGAAGTAAGTGGGTTAGTGAGGGCTGCTGCCTGTGGCTGGGACTGGGAGCTACTGGAGAGAGTTGGGGTTATTTGGGTGGGGGTGCTTTAACTTGGGGGGGAGGGGAGGGACTGAGAAAGAAAGAAAAGATGGGAATTCTTGAAAGGAACTGTGAAGTGGGAGTAGGCTGGAGCCATGACCTGCCCGAGCCCTCCCCAGTTTGTGGCCCTGATAGGTGCGCTCCTTGCCATCTGCTGCATGATTTTCCTGGGCTTCGCGGATGATGTACTGAATCTGCGCTGGCGCCATAAACTGCTGCTGCCCACAGCTGCCTCACTACCTCTCCTCATGGTCTATTTCACCAACTTTGGCAACACGACCATTGTGGTACCCAAGCCCTTACGCCCACTTCTTGGCCTGCATCTGGACCTGGGTGAGTAGCGCTGCCACTTCTGCCCCTATGGCCCCTACTTCAGGGCACCCTTGCCCTGTGAGATATCCAGCAGAGCATCCTTCCTGGTGCTCCACGTTCTCCTCCCTGTTTTGTCCCTGTGTTTTCTTAGATCCTTTTGTTGGCCTTTCATCCCATCCTCTATCCTCACCACTTTTCTCAGAAGAATATCCTTAAATTCTCATTCTACAGGTGGCATTACTTCTCTTACTGTTTTCTCCCCCCAGGGATCCTGTACTATGTGTACATGGGGCTGCTGGCAGTGTTCTGTACTAATGCCATCAATATCCTAGCAGGAATTAATGGCCTAGAGGCTGGCCAGTCGCTAGTCATTTCTGCTTCCATCATCGTCTTCAACCTGGTGGAGCTGGAAGGTAGGTGGGATTGGACTAGGGAGAGGAGAGAAGTCTGAGTGTTAAGGAAGTTGCCTGATATCTGGCTTTGGGGAATTTGTTAAACGTGAGAAAGAAACTAAGATTTGTTAAACGTGAGAAAGAAACTAAGATTTGTTAAATGTGAGAAAGGAAAATAGCAGCCCTGTCACTTATAACAGCATTGGCACTAATAGGTAGGCCATGGTCTTCTCCTATTGAGCATAAACAACTTCACAAAACCTCAGAATCAGACAGGGTCACTCTGTGACCGTGATAGAATAAGACCAAAACTAGACCCCTCTGTAACCATGTCTGAGCATAGACAAAACCACAGGAACACGGTGCATCTCACAAAAATGACCAAGATCCCCTTCTAGCTAACATGAGTGGCTGCTGCTTCCTTCCGATAACAACTCAGTTCCTCTCACTTCTTGGATAAAAATTATTAAGATGCTCAATCATAGCATTATCTCTGCTGACAGCGCCCAGTGCAGGGCAAAACTCTGCCTCCTTGCATCCTCCCCAGAATTATTTAAAACAAATTCTATAAAAAGTCCTCCTAACACCTCCTTACTGAGGCATTCCATGGTTCCCCATGGTGTGTGGGTTCCAAAGTTTCTCTTGTTTCAAGTCAGTAAACCCAGCTTTGACTACAGGCGTGTTTCTGGTGGTTTTTGGATGATGGACATCCATAAGTACTTATTAAAGCTAAGCACTTTTAAAATGTGATCTCACTTTAAACTCTGTAACAGCTCTATGTGGCAGGTGTTTTCATCAGCCTTTTTTCACAGATAGGAAACTGAGGCTCAGAGAAGTTAAATGTGTCATGATCAAGGTCACACAGTTAGGAAGTAAAGCTGCTATCCAGACCTAGGTCTGAATGGTCTAAACCAAATGTAAGACAGTAACTAGTTTAGGAAGGGTTCATGAAAGAGGTGAAATATTGGGAACTTCTTGGGTGACATAAAAGGGATAGTGAGTTCTTGGGACTTAGAGAGGTGGATGATACAGCTTGGGACAGAACTCAGGGACAGACGAAAATAGGACCCAGGTGTGCAGGGGAAGTGGCTGTCAACGTTTTCTTCTTTCTTTTTCCCCTGCTTCCAAAGGTGATTGTCGGGATGATCATGTCTTTTCCCTCTACTTCATGATACCCTTTTTTTTCACCACCTTGGGATTGCTCTACCATAACTGGTAAGTAGGCCTGTGGATAGTGGGACAGCTATTTGAATTTGTGGCCAGTACCGTCCTCCTCATTGTGACCCATCTCCTGACGGAGAGGCTTAACCTGCGCATCTCTGTATTGAGTGTTTTCTGGGTCTTTTTGGTAATATTCTTAAATCTTAAATATTCTCTACCCAATTGTAGCTGGGGGCAGGTGCTGTGGAGCCCCCAGGAATAGATGGATTCGGGACCTTGTTTGCTGGAGAGTTGCTGGGAGAGCTGGAATGTCCTCTGAGCCAGAACTAGGGTCAGGGCTAGCCCAGTGCGCAGGGTGTGTGATGTGAGAGAAAGGATTGCTAATGCCTCTTGCCACTGGCTCGGATCCTCTCCCGTACACAGGTACCCATCACGGGTGTTTGTGGGAGATACCTTCTGCTACTTTGCTGGCATGACCTTTGCCGTGGTGGGCATCTTGGGACACTTCAGCAAGACCATGCTACTCTTCTTCATGCCCCAGGTGTTCAACTTCGTCTACTCACTGCCTCAGCTCCTGCATATCATCCCTTGCCCTCGCCACCGTATGCCCAGGTAGCCGCTTTGGGGCTTGAAAGGGACATCATAGCTTTTTCCCTTGGGATGCCTTAGACGTTTGCTGTGCAAAGGGAATGGGCCCAAAGAAGGGCTAACTCTTGCCATGCAGTTAGCCCTTTATACATTACAGAGCACATTTAGTTCCATGATCTCGTTTCATGTTCACAGCAGCTCTGATCACACAGAAGCAAGCAGCAGAGCCAGAAATAGATCTCAGGGTGTCTGACTCCACACTCAGGGCTCTTCCTATTAATTAACCACAGGGAGGAGAGTTCTGTGAGTAGTGGCCCAGTCACATGAAGCTGTCTTCCCCTGCAGACTCAATACCAACACAGGCAAACTGGAGATGAGCTATTCCAAGTTCAAGACCAAGAGCCTCTCTTTCTTGGGCACCTTTATTCTAAAGGTAACAGGGTAACAAGGAGGTAAGGCTCTAGGCTGCCATTCGGAATTCAGGGAATGGGGAACCTAGGCCTACATCACACCCAAGGGGAGTTTGGAAGCATTGAGCAGATCCCCATTCCTGAAGCGTAGGTATTAGCTGAAGTTCTCTCCAATTTTGACCCCTCCAGGTAGCAGAAGGCCTCCGGCTAGTGACAGTGCGCCAGAGTGAGAATGAGGACGGTGCCTTCACAGAGTGTAACAACATGACCCTCATCAACTTGCTACTTAAAGTCTTTGGGCCCATGCATGAGAGAAACCTCACCCTGTTCCTGCTGCTGCTACAGGTGCAATGCTGATGGTGATGTGATTTACATCTCCTTGTCTCCCTTTCTCTGTGGTTCTTACTGTAGTTCATTTCTCCTTACAGGTCGTGGGCAGTGCTGTCACCTTCTCCATTCGGTACCAGCTTGTCCGACTCTTCTACGATGTCTGAGTCCCCTGATCCACTGTCCTTTGCTTCACGGCCTCCAGATTTCCTGACTCAGGCCGACCTCTTCCAGACCAAGATTGCCTCCTGGCCCAGGCCTCTCCCCGCTTCATTGTCCTCCAGATTTTGTCCTCAGCATTTCCTTTCTCCTGTGATTATTGACATCCTGGGCCATTCTTGCCCTCTAATGACTATTTTTTTTTTTTTTTTTCCTTTTTTGCTGTACGCGGGCCTCTCACTGTTGTGGCCTCTCCCGTTGCAGAGCACAGGCTCCGGACGCGCAGGCTCAGCGGCCATGGCTCACGGGCCCAGCCGCTCCGCGGCATGTGGGATCCTCCCGGACCGGGGCACGAACCCGTATCCCCTGCATTGGCAGGCGGACTCTTAACCACTGCGCCACCAGGGAAGCCCCTCTAATGACTATTTGATTGGACTTCGCCTATGGCTTTCTTCTACTTGCCACTCCCCCTCTCCGTCCCATCTTTGCAGCCTCCTAAGGTGGGATACTGTAGCTTTGATGCAATTACCCACAACTCTGACACTCAAGAAATATGCTGGGCCTGGGGATAGAACCCTGGCTGGGGATAGGGACACAGGCTCGAAGGTGACTTGACATTTGACTATAAATTAAGTATTCTGATGATTTAGCAGACTGGGGGGCCTGTGCTCCCAGTGGTGACAATAAACTGTCGTCTTTTTCTTGTTGTTCCTGTAGGTGTATCTCCTATACAGGGCATTTTAGGGTAGACTGGGAGGGTTGGTGGAGGCATTTCCTCGGAGAGGATGCCTGTCTCTCTGCCCCATCCTTTTTCTTTCAGTACATCAGGCCCCTCCTAGCAATAAGGGAACAGAAAGAACAGACCAGACAGAACATGTTGAATAAATAGGAAATCCTGCTGCTCAGGTGGCATAAAGGGCCATAAGATTGGTGTTATCTGTTCTCTGGTATGGGGTTGGACTTGCAGGGGGTCTCATTCCTTCCCTTTTTCACTCTCCCTTTGCCAGGCAGGAGGAGGGAGTGACCAGACCTGGGACCGGAGGAAGAGGTAGCCGTAGTGTTGACCCCTTTCCTTTAAAAATCCTAGACCCGCACAGACTTCCTTGAGGCTCTTGAGGTGACTTCAGACTCCACCTTCTTTGTCTTCCGGCTCTGGTCTGGGCTATAGGGTTTAAATCTGGCGCGCTTCACTTGGATTGGCTACACCCGGGAGTAGTTGGCTGTCTGCTTGCTGCCGCTCCTCCTCGCCTTTTCCCCGGGCAAAAGGTTTTCAAATTTGGCCAATCGGCGGGCGCGTTCCCTCAGCTGAGGCGCGTCATCGAAGGGTTAACCGCAGCCAACCGGAGGCGGGTATTGGAGAAAAGAGCCAATCAGGAGGACGCGGGGGTGCGCCCTGGGGGCTTATAAGGGCGGCCCTTGGGCGCGCGCGACAGCAGTTGGACTGCGGCGGACGGCTGTTCCTTAGTCTCGTGAGCAGCCCTCCTCTCCGTTCCTCTACCTCGCGCAGCATGTCGGGCCGCGGCAAGACAGGCGGTAAGGCCCGGGCCAAGGCCAAGTCGCGCTCGTCGCGAGCGGGCCTCCAGTTCCCCGTGGGCCGCGTGCACCGGCTATTGCGGAAGGGACACTACGCCGAGCGGGTGGGCGCCGGCGCGCCGGTCTATCTGGCGGCGGTGCTCGAGTACCTCACAGCCGAGATCCTGGAGCTGGCGGGCAACGCGGCCCGCGACAACAAGAAGACGCGGATCATCCCCCGCCACCTGCAGCTGGCCATCCGCAACGACGAGGAGCTCAACAAGCTGCTGGGCGGCGTGACGATCGCCCAGGGAGGTGTCCTGCCCAACATCCAGGCCGTACTGCTGCCCAAGAAGACCAGCGCCGCCGTGGGGCCGAAGGCGCCCGCGGGCGGCAAGAAGGCCACCCAGGCCTCGCAAGAGTACTGAGGGCGTCCGCGCCGCCGCCACCGTCGCCGCCTGGCCCCTCCCCTCGCCACCACAAAGGCCCTTTTAAGGGCCACCACAACGCTCACGGAAAGAGCTGGGCCGCGTCGGGCTCCCGGCCGGGCGGCAGCTCACTCGCCCCCTCCGCGGCCCCGCCGCCGCGCGGCCTGCCCCTCCCCCGCGCGGCTCGCTCCAGCCGTGGCTCGGCGGAGGGCGGCCGTTTGAACGCCGCTCGGTGCCAGGAGCGAGCTCGTGACTCGGCCGGCCTGGCCCCCTAATGCTGATGGGCTGCGGGGAGGCCGCGGCACCTTCTAGAAGGCTGGGCCGGCCGCGCTGACGCAGGGCTGGGGCGCGTGGCGGGGAAGGTGAGTCGGTGCGGACGGCCGCCGGCGCGGCCGCGCGCGCGCGCGTTCCCCACCAGCCCGGTGCTCAGGACGGGACTCGGTTGACGGCGGCGGCGGCGGAGTCAGTCGGTCACTTCATTTGTCCCGGGACGCCCTTTGCTGCCGGATCCCGAGCCTTGCACGTCCGCGCTCCCTCCATCTCCACTCGCAGGCCTGTGCGCGTCCCGGAAGACACACTTCGCGGCGTGAGCGTCTCCCGCGGTGTCGGGTCCCGGCGGCGTGGGGTCTAAGGGAGTCCTGCCCCTGGACTCGCGCCCCTCCCGGCGGGTCCGCTCCGCAAGCCAAGCACCTAGATACCAGCACTAGTCCGTTAATCCCCATCTGGACTGAGTCGCCGTTGGCCTCGGAACTGGAATTTTGCAGCTAACCCAACCAAGACAGTACTTTAGGTATTGGGGAGTTTCAGATGGACTAATTTTGTTTATTAAAGGATTTTCTTTTTTAAACAGTGAGGTGTCTCTTCATTTTGCAGACGGGTTGTAGGATCGATGACTGTAGATTCCTAAAGGTAGTGGGGGAGGGGAGCTATCTGATACAAAGGCTTTACCGTTAACTGGAGCGGCAAATCGTAGATTATAAGATTATGGTTCTTTCTTGGTGTTCCCTGGGAGACAATTAATTCTGTCAGAACTACTGAGACAGAAACAGAAGGCAATGTATTCCAGGAGAACTTTGGACAGAGGTCTTAGCCTCTGAGGTAAGGAGCAAAGGGTCTTGTGTTTGTCCTTATTTTTCTTTTCTGCAACCCCATCAAAAACAAAGCCACCTTCAAATCTAGTTTATTAGTAGAGTTGGTTACATTCAAAGGCTGTGGCTTGTTAGATGTTTCTTCTCCAGAGACTAAGCCTCCACCTACTGAGGAGACAAGACATAACCAAGGCCCCAAGTTGAGACAAGTCTCTAAGTCTCCGCCCCTGCAGTTCCATCCCCTGGGTAATCACCCCTCAGGTAACAGTGAGACTGGGGCACTGAGGGCTGGGATGTAGGCACGGGGCACCAGCAACCCAGGCACCTGTGCCCCACAGACCAGTTAGTGGGCATCATTGAGCTGCCGTGCAACATCCAAGATGTTCTTGGCTCCTTTGTTCAGCAACAAGGTGGCCAGGCTGATGCCCAGGCTCTCAGCAGCCAGCTGGGCTTGTCGTGGAATGTTCCGGGCAGTGATGCCCACAAGCTGTGGATCATCCTCAGGGCCATCTTCATGCTGGGTAAGGGAAGGAGGGTAGGATTTGGTGAGCACGAAAGGGGAAGTAACATAGAGACGTGTTTTTTACCCTCTCCGTCACCCTCCAGCCTTGGCACCTGGGCAGGGACATGGATGGTGGTCTGCATGGTCTCTTGCATGCTATCTGCACCATTCAGACTCCAGACTCCTCCAGTCAGGTATAGCTGGGAAAGAAAACAGTTGCCTCAGCATACTGTGAGAGGGAACTGCTTAGAAACCTGGGCTTTTCTTGCTGGCAGCTCAGGATGCACAGGAGAAATGCCAGAGTCCCTTCCCTGCCCTCCCACCCATCTTCCCCTGCTTACTTGCCCATCCTTCATAGCTGTATGAACTGCCACTGGCACACTGCAGCCTCCTTCCTGCAACAAGTTCTCCCTGTGAGCTCCAAGGACCCTTACCACCACCCTGTAACCAGAGTCCTCAGAGATAACAGACCCCTCTAAGGACATAACTGAAAATGAGGTAGTGGCCCAGACCTGGGTCCTGTCCATACTTTGAAGGATGAGTTACCACTAAATACAGAGCAATAATTTGAGAAATCTCCCCACTACCCTTCCTAGCTCCCCAGGTACCCACCCCTCCACAAGAGCACAGGCCCTACCAGGTGCCTCAGGAAGGCCCGTTCAGCAATGCAGCGAAGCAAAGTCTCAGGATCATGCAACACACCCACCAGATCCAAGATGTCCTGGTCCTTGGCTCGAACTTCCACGCCCAGAGCCCCCTGATGGAAAAATAGCCTAAGATATCAGGGCCAATCTTTCCCCAACCAATGGAGCTAAGGACGGGAACCAGCCTACTTCCACCTGTTTGCCAGGTCCTTTTGGGCCAGTAGCCTCCCAAGGCTTGCCCCTCTCTGGGAGTGTTCTTGGTTGAAAACAAAAGAAAGGGACACATCAATACACGGCTTCCCTGGTCAAGCATACCTGACCCACAGCATACATGCACTCCTCAGGGTGCAGGATCTGTGGGGGCAGAAGAGGCAGTCAGAAGGGTGGAGGTGGGAGTGCCTAAAAGCACACAGCAGTGAGATGGGGCTTTTCTAGCATACAGAAGGGCTGGAGAGGCAAGAGTGGGAGTTTGGCCTCTGATCCCCAGTCTTCCCTACCCGGGACTCATTTCCAGCTTGCACTGTTAGAGATGGGATTCAAAAAGAGAACACAGGCAGGAAGGAGATGAAGACAGCTGGGGCATGAAGAGTGGCAGGCCCTACCTGCCCCACCCGGTTCTGCCAGCCCATGCGCTGCAGGCCAGCTGCGGCCAGGATGATGGCACTGAACTCCTGCAGCTCATCCAGCTTCCGAAGCCGTGTGTTGAGGTTTCCCCGCTGTGGAGAGGCGCTAAGGACCACAAGCTTTGGGCAGTCTGGAGCCTTATGCTGTTCCCTTTGCCTGAGTCTCTCAATCTGCTAACTTCTCACCTTTGAGTTCTCAGCTTAATGACAACAGCTAACACTTACTTCATACTTACTACATGCCAGACGCTTTAGATACATCAATTCATTTAATTTTCACAACCCTATGACATAGGTAGTATTATCATCTCCATTTTACAGATGAGAAAAATCATAGAGAGGTTTTAATTTATTTAATAACTTGCCCAAGGTTATAAGACCTCTGAGAAGTCTTCCTTGACTCTCAAGTCTGTGTTTAGATGTTCCAGCTAGAAGCTTCCAGAGAATTCCCTACTTTGTGCACTGGAGCACTTAGCAAATACTATTTTGAAAATCAGTTTTACAAACATATAACATTGTAAAGATCAAAACAATATAGTGGAATATAAAATAAAAATGGAGTTATGGTTACCAAAGGGGAAAGGGGATGGGGGGAGATAAGAGTTTGGGATTAGCAGATGCAAACTACTATATATAAAATAAACAACAAGGTCCTATTATATAGCACAGGGAACTATATTCAATATCTTGCAATAAACTACAATGGAAAAGAATATGAAAAGGAATATGTATATATATGTACAACAATCACTTGCTATACACCAGAAACGAACACAACGTTGTAAATCAACTATAATAAAACCAATTTTTAATTATTTAAATTTAAATGGAAGCACCCCCCCAACCCCCCTCCCTCGATGTAATCATTATTCAGTTTCACTCTGTATTATCAATGCCTGGTTGTCTGTCTCCAGCACTAAAATGTAAACTCCGTGTAAGCAGGGACAATGTTGATATTGCTAACCATATCCCCAGTGCCAGGCACTTGCCTGGGGCTAAGAAAACATGAAAGGATTATGAATGAATGGATGGGAGTCCACTGCATCCATGGTCCACTTCCTCTGGAAGCCCCTTCTACTCTCACAACTCCCAGAGCCCTCTGGACCTGGTCTTCCTCCTTGGCTGCTGCCTCCTCCCTCCGCTAAAAGGATACAATACTCTTGAACTCCAGATGTGGAAACTTTCTCTGCAGCTGGGCCGCTCTCCGCAGGGAGCTAGTTCCCACCACGCTGCTCAGAGAGATGGTTTAAAATGAGATTTAAGTCGCATGAGATTTAACTAGGCAGGCACTGTTCCTTTCCTCCTCCTCCAACCCCTCCATCTTCTGTGCACATCCCACCAAGATGCCTATCCAGGCCCCACTCACCTCTTCTCTGGCAAGGTTTCTAGGGTCTTCCCAACAAATTTTGGGTGAAAGACCACAGCATCATAGGGGCTCTCCCGCCTGGGGATGGAGGGAAGGTCATAGAATAAGGGAGAGATCTCGGTTCAGGTCACTTCCAGGCTCTCTCAATAGTCAACTAACTGGCATTTTCTGAGTTTTCTGCCATGCTTAACACTCCTCAGGGCAGGGGAGACAGCCTAGAGGCAGAGGGCCAAGTCCCAAAGGGAAAAGTCAAGGTTAATATGATGTCTACCCCATGCCGAGGCCCCCTGACTGGCAGGACTCTTACTTGCAGATGGCTCCAATGGTGAAGCCAGGAGGAAGCACCGTGGGCAGGTCCTTCAGGGAGTGAACAACCAGGTCCACTCTAGAAAGATGGCAGAGAGGGAAGGAGAAGGGGTCTGAGCAGCACGTCCCCAGCCCTTCTCCACCCACTCCTGCCTGTACGTCACTGGCAGAGCCTAGAGCGGTTGAGGAAGCAGGCGTTTCTGAGGCCTTGGGGC